GACGACCAGCAAAATATACGAAAGTCAGGTTTGGGCACGATGGAAAACGAATTAGTGTCCATGAATTGGGACTATTTGGTCAAGGGGGATCCAGAGGACGGCCGGAGATCGTTTAGGACGACTTCATTCGATCTAATTTGGTGCTACTGTTCAGCGAAGATATGAAAAATGATCAGTCGCCTTGTCTGGCTAACTGGAGTCCTGAATAAACAGTTAAGAAAGTGAAGTACAGGGTGGGAAATATTCAGGGAAACTGGGCCACCATTGCTCCGCGAGGAGCTTCGTCATCTACTATATGCGGTGAAAAAATGCATGATACAGGCAAGGAATGTCTAAGAATCCAGAGGTATTCGGCAGACTGAACAAAAAACCGAGATTTAACCCCGTTATCCTAGCAGTGGGCTAAAAACCGATGACCCAATCACAGAATGGAAGAAGAAAATATAATAGGTTTACCGTAATACCTCTTAGACATTGTCCGTTTCCTTTAAACACAGGAAAAACTAAACCAATATATAAACAGCACGGAAGGATGGTAATGGTGTAGAAATCGTTGACAACGGTGAGAAAGCCGAATACCTGTGACGCTTTTTTACGTCGATATGCACTGAGGAAGCTGAGTTTTGGATTTAAAAAGTCGACTATGCTGTTGTAAACGCCGGTTCCCTGTCAAATCTATAATCTTTCCGGTATCTGTCGTGGAAATAACTACAGAATTTGAAAAAAGTAAAGTCCTCGAGTCCTGACGATATACCGGCTAAATTCAACCCCATATTTTCATTAGTTATTCGAATTAAAGAGGTTGCCACCCACTGGGAGACATCAAATATCTGATTGATATACAACGATTTGTCTCGAACTAGCGCTAACAAATAACGGCCCGTGAACCTCATCCGCATATGCTGTAAAATAATGGAAACCGTGCTTAAGAAAACAACAATGAGTTTCTTTGATGAGAGCCACTTACTCTCGGGGCCCCAACACGGCTTCAGACACAACTGCTCATGCCTTTCCATGTTATTGCTCTCGACTGAGCAGTGGACTCGCGCATTAAAAGAGGATGGTAGGATCCATGATATCTATATGGATTCAAAAAAGGCGGTAGAAAGCATTCTCCACAATTGCCTAATCTACAAACTGTCTGAAATTGGAACAAGGGGAAAGCTGCTGACACGGATTGCAGACTTTCCTACGGGGAGATCAAAAACCGTGCACGTTGAGGCATCGAAATAGACTCCTACATTCTAAGTGGTATCCCCTGCGGCTTAGTCTTAGGGCTGTTGCAATTCCTAGTTTAGATTAACGACTTTGTCGACGAATTAGGTTGCGGCACCTTCTTGTTTGCTGATATCCGCCAGATGTGACGCAAACAGGCGCACACTTCAAGAGCGTCCTCACCGACGCAGCAGCTTGGCTGCTTGGTGGAACCGAAATTGTAACGTTGGTAAATGTGCGGTCCTGAGACTACTCAGCCAAAGGACAAGTGAGGGTGATGATCCCTTCCGATACCTCCTTGCTGGGCAACCCCATTCAAATGTTCAGGGACGGCGGTTTACGTCTGGTCCAAACTTAAGGAGGATATTTGAATTTTCAGATTTGCTGACGTTACAATTCATTCTGTCGATGTTTTTGGGTATGGATAGAAAGCCTCATTCTTTTAACAAATTGACCTAAGCTGACTCGAGTCTTTCACAGACTCAAGTTCTTATCTCTGCTAGTCGGCACACAATCTCCATAATTTCTCCTTGATTATACCCCCCAGCTCCCTCAGCCTCTATGCGCTCCTTCATCTCCTCTTCCAAGTATGCTAATACTTGGAATAACCTTCCGATAGATATAAGATCACCAGATGATCTACATGCATTTAAGAGAAAGCCGCGCGTTTGTCTGGATACTGACTCGATTAAAGATGTATTTTCCTCATCCTTCCCGCAGCACTTTCTCTATGACACTGGGAAAGGACACTCAACAATTTCGGACACCGCCACCAAATTACGATATCCGCTCACATCCTCTTATTGCATGTGGATTTGCCTTCTAGGATCTGGCACAAGACATTCCGATTCTTCTGATTTTACGGTCCACTATTCGTGTCCTTCATAAAAGTGACACCCTCCCTAACCAGTCTCTCAGAGAAAAGTCCAGGTCATGCTAATGCGCAGGCTCTAGGCCACCTTCGTTTTGCTGCTATTCAACCCTCGCCTGGAATCCATTCTAGTCTTCGTGATTTCAAGTTCTAACCCCAATGCCGGTCCCACCCTGGATCTGCCGCCACTTAACATCTCCGTACTCGCATCCCAGTTGCAGGAAAAATTTGCCCTCCTCTTTTGTATCCCTCCGCAAACAACGGTTTTCGCGGGTTTTAAAACCATCTCCCAATCTCGACCACCTGCCATATGTTTTCGCCTTCTGATAGTAGTTTGGTCGGTCAGAAAGACAGTGACATGGAAGCATCTCCTGCACTTTTATGACTCCCGCAGCCTTAAATATCCCATTCTCGCCTGGACTCTAAGCGGACTGCGACCGACCGTTTTAGATCCCTCCTGCCTCGCTACTCTGACAACTGCTTCTGCTGCCAATCCAAAAATACGAAGATTGAATCAACAGCGAAGATTTCGTCGGTTAAGGAATTTAACCATGATTAGCACCATCCTGAAGCCTCATATATTCCCGCCTGTAGGACGATCCTGTCCGACCCACATATTTGTTATCCCATGAGCGACACTTTTTCCTCCTTAGGGAACAATAAAATCACAAAAAGTTGCCTTTCTGAAAAAATGAAGGAGATTTTACCGTTTGCTAGCAGTTTTTCATATCAGACTGCCTATGTTATAGGAGTTAACTGAAAACTGTACAGCGCCTGCCTATTCATTTTGAAATTCAATCGAAAATTTTCGTTTACTTGCAATAAAAGTGCCCGTGTGGCTACTGAATAAATCAATTTATTCATTTTTGATTCATTTATATGCAAAGGGGAATCCTTCATATGCGATCCAAGCCTGGAGACCACGTGTTCAGCAGGAATTTAGCCTAAACGAGAGATTTCGGAGTCGTACCACGAACCTAGTGTAGATCAAAGAGCACTGACACATGAGACTCGTCTATATATCTTAAGTATACGTCCTCTGAGTTTTAGGCGACTGCGCGGGAGCTTGATGTAGACTTTGCGTATCATGCGTGGTGTGGGCTGTCCCCGCTGGGCCAACGTCCGACTCGCCATTACAACCTCCGCAGGCGTCATTTTCACCTACGTGTGTCCCAAGTAAGAATGGATGCGGAGAAGTATTTTCTTGCAGACGGAGTCGTGGAACCATGGAATGACCTGTCCGAGGCAATTGATATGTCCCAGTCAGTGGAGATATTCAAATAACGCATTGACAGACACAGGCTCCGGCAACAAAACACTACGTGCCTACGTTACCTTTAAAACAGACGTACTAATTTGAAACAAGGTCTATCACCACTGGACACTACTTTCTTTACAGGATTGCAAATTCTCCCCATTTGTACACGAAAAATAGGGAGATCAATGGCGTTGGCTCATTTCCCTCGAATAAACTGAACTGAAATTTTAGTTATTGATAAATGCACACGGATCTCTTATACACGTTCCGTATTTAGAATAGACTGGACGTCAGCCTGGTATTTGAGGAATTTTCGAATTTGTTTCCACGATCGATCACCGCAGTCACCTATTTAAACTGGATGTGTGGAAGCTTTCCTGCTCTGTCAGACTTGTCAAACCACGAAAATGCTCTCCTCGCAGATTTCGTTATGTCACAACCGATAGTAAGCTGTAAAAGGAGACTAGGAATATTTATGCTCCGAAATGAAAAAGAATGGTGGGGGATCGAACTCAGCCCATGTACTCACGGACAATTTGTCCGATCAAACAGTTTCAACCCACTTGGTTTCCCTGAATACGTTGAAAATAGGTTATTCAGACCTAAAGTCTATTTCCCTCGGTGAAATGGACTGAACTTATTGTTGCTCAAATGTCGAGGGGCTGTGTCCCATCGAGGCCCGACTCCCTAATGAAGGAGCACTGTGCTGGGAGGGAAAGAACCCGCAGCATGTCTTATGTAAAGGCAGTCTCGCTATAGGCATGGAAGGTTGAACATCGCCCGTCAACGCTGTTGGCTTGAACTAAGATCACGGGCCTACCTTAACTTGTTTAAGCTTCTCACCCAGGAATGTACACAAATAATTGAGGCAGCAGGTTACGCTAGTCTTGCCAACCAGCAATATTCAGGCAGTCCGGCTGAACGGTCCCACACCAGACTGGATACCTGAGCTGTGTGTCAAATTTCTCGGTGTTGAGGTCATTTCTGTCATTTGCAATCATCCGACGATCGAGGGAAACACGAAGTTCAGTAAAGATTAGCCTTGTCCAACCTAGGAATTGGAAATCACCAATAGCATTCGAGAAAAGTTTTACCGACAAATGGCTGTAGCGGCCGAATAAGGAGGAGCTCCGGGAAACTCGGGAAGACCTGAGTTGGATTGTGATGGCTTGCGGTCTTTCGTATGGGTATCTAAAGAAAACTCCTCTAAAAGTCGCGTAACTCCATCATACACACTAGCAAAGGAAAGGGGTGGTGTGGACATAATGGCGACGGATGAACTGATATAAAAGTTTATTAGTAAAACGTTGGTGACACGGTAGAAAAATAAGTTTAATGCGATCTATGACGTAAGGTAAAAATAGTGGGTACAGACTACCAATCAACTAAGAGAGTACAATTTAATCCTATGGTTCGATAAAACGTGAAACACGGAAAAGATAGTTAATGGTGAAACAAACGAGACGGAAAACGAATCGGCAGTTCAGGAATACGGAAACGATAAGGAAAAGGGGACTTAACGGAGGGCGTGTCGACAGGCGTCAGCTCCGATCCACGTGACCCAAACTCTGAAAAAGGGCGGGCGGGAAGTAAAAAAAGATCCGTTTAAAACAATCGGTCGTTACATCGCCCCCCTCTTAAGGTACAGCACTGTCCTCAGTGCTGGTGGGGTCGATGGGGGAAGGGACGGAGACCTCGATGGCTACCGGGGGAACTAGGTCTAGGGGATGACGGGTAGGGAATCGGGAGTGTAATTGGGTAGGCGCCCTCGGTAAGGTTTGAGCTTAGAAAAGTGTGCGTAAAGGAGGGGAAGTCAGGGTGGACGGCGTCGCGTAACATGAATGTGGTGGGGGCGAGTACGTCGAGTACGGTAAACGGTCCTTGCCATGGGTGGTGGAGTTTAGCGGAGTTGCCATGTGGGGGTACGGGGTTGTAATGCATCACCAAGTCGCCAACTTGGTGTGGGGTGCCAGCGGTGCGGCGGTCAAACTGCTCTTTTTGGTGCTGGGTAGCAACTCCCAAAGCAACGCGGGCAGCGTTATGAGCTGAGCGTATGACCCCTCGGAGGTGCGTGGCGTACTCGCGTAGTGTTGACGGGTCGGGTGTGGGTAGGGGGTAGCGAAGGTCGGCCGGGAGGCGTAGGTCGCGGCCAGTCCAGAGGTAGTGAGGTGTGAACCCCGTGGAAGAATGTACTGTTCCGCGATAAGCTAGCAGGCACAGAGGTAGATGTGCGTCCCAGTCGTGCTCGTGCCCGTCCCGTGAGAATGCCAGTAAGAGGTCGTGCAGCGTGCGGTTGGTCCTCTCTACAAGGCCGTTGCCTTCGGGGTGGTACGGGGTAGTTCGGGTTTTGCGGATCTCTAGGATCTCGCAGACGTCTTGTAGGAGCTGGGACTGAAAATTAGCGCCGCAGTCGGAATGGAATGACAAGGGGGCGCCCCAACGGCTAATCCAAGTGCGGCTAATGGCATTTGCGACTGATGCCGCGTCCTGGCGGAGGAGTGGCACTGCTTCCACCCACTTGGTGAAATAGTCCACCATGACTAATACGTACTCAAACCCGCGCACCGATATCGGAAAGGGTCCTACAATGTCCAGGCCGACACGCTCTCCCGGAAAGCCAGTGGTCATAGGTTGCAGCGGGGCACGCGGTGAGGGGGAGGGGGGTTTGAACGTAGCGCATGTGGCGCAGGACTGACAGAAGCGTTGTACGGCCGAACGTAGTTGAGGCCACCAGAAGCGGCTGTGAGCAGCGAGTTCCGTGCGGCGTTGGCCGCTGTGCCCGAGCTGTGTGTGGAGGTCAGTGAGTACGGACTCTACTAAGCATCCGGGAACGACGGGACGTAGCCGGTTGGAAGTGGGGTCGCGGAAAAACAATATGTCATTCTCTACGGTGAGGTAGGGCCACTGGTTGAGCAATAGGCGGGCGCTCTGGCTAGCGCCTCTCATTTCCCGCTCGGTAGGTTTGGGAAGCCCTAGACTCATGTGGCGGTAAATAGTGGCCGTGTCCGAGTCCGTTTTTTGCGCTGTTGCCCATTCGTGGCGTGTTGGCTCCGACACGACAATAGCGTTAACGCCGGCTGTCTGTATATCGGGGTCTGCGTCAGTGACGTGGGGCAAGCGGGAAAGGGCATCTGCGTTGCCATGCTTGTGGCCCCGACGGTATTGACATTCAAAGTCAAAATCCTGAAGGAACTCCTGCCAGCGTGCCAGCTGGTCCATGGGTTCCTTGAAGGACCGCAGCCACTGCAGGGCCCTGTGGTCTGTGCGGAGAACGAAACGTCGTCCGACCAGCAGGTGTTTGAATTGACGCAGGATCACAACGATCGCCAGGAGTTCGCGACGGAAGGTACAATAATTCCTCTGTGGTTTAGTGAGGGTATTGCTTGCGAAGCAGATCGGGTGCTCTACTCCGTTCGCGTCGGCTTGGGAGAGTACGGCGCCGATGGCGTACCCACTGGCATCAGTGTCTAAAATGAATGGGGGTGCGTCGTCGTCAGCGTTTGGGAGGGCAAGTAGGGGAGCCGAGCACAGGGCGGCGCGGAGGTCGGTGAACGCACGTGCACAGTCGTCCGACCAGACGAAGGGTCTGCCTTTCTCCGTGAGTTTGTGCAGGGGGTTGGCGATATGAGCAAAACCACGGATGAAACGACGGTAATATGATGCTAACCCCAAGAAACTGCGTAATTCCGTTTGGTTGGAGGGGGTTGGCCACGTGCGGATACATTGGATGCGGTCAGGCAGGGGGGAGATGCGCCCGGGAGAGATTAAGTGACCCAAAAAATTTACCTCGCGGCGTAAAAAAGGCATTTCGTGGGGTTAAGGGTCAGACCAGCGGAGCGGAGGGCTTCCAATACCGCGCGCAAATTGTGGTTGTGTTCGTCGATAGACCTCCCAAACACTATAATGTCGTCGAGGTAGACGAGACACTTGTCTGGAATGAGGGGTTGAAGGACGCGATACATAAGACGTTGGAAAGTGGCGGCTGCGTTGCACAGGCCAAACGGAAGGGTCTGGAACTCATACAGACCTTGGAATACCGTGAACGCGGTTTTATGGCGGTCGTCTGGATGAATCTCAACCTGCCAATAACCGGATTTGAGGTCTAGTGTCGAGAACGATGCCGCATTTCCTAGGGCGTCTAGGGTGTCGTCTAACCGCGGGAGCGGGAAGGAATCACGAACTGTCACGGCGTTAAGGCGACGATAATCGACACACAGCCGGACGGATCCGTCCTTCTTGGGGACGAGGGCTATGGGAGAAGCCCATGGGGATGACGAAGGCTGGATTATTTTAGCCTGCAGCAGTTCATCTAATAGCTTGTTGACTTCTTCGCGGTAGCGCAATGGGATGCGGCGTGGGGGTTGCCACACGGGCTTGGCGTCTCCCGTGTCAATCGTGTGCTGAATCAAGTGGGTGCGCCCGATGGTGTCGGTGGACCAGGCGAAAAGTTCTGGGAAGGAGCTCAGGAGGGTCTTAAGCTGCTCGTGCGCGACCGGACCGATTAGGGAGGGGGCGGGAAGAACGGTATCTAAGGGGGTAGGCTCTAGCGCTACGGCGGAAAGTACTGAGTTGTACATGATGTCGAGATCGTCTATAGTGGCTGGAGAGGCGGGTGCGGTGGTGTTTCGGCCGAGTGTAAGTTGTCGTTCGCGGACATGGACTACGCAATCGTGAGCCTCTAGGAAATCAAGGCCGAGAACGATAGGCCAGGGGCCATCAGGGGTAACAAGAAACCTATGGGCGATACGCGCGTTTTCGATCATAAGCTGTAGCGAAACAGTGGCCGATACGGGTATCGCCGTGCCGTTGGCGGCGCGGAGGGAGCGGGGGGCCGGAAGTGGGTCCACGTGACGCAGTAGGTGGTTGGGAAGTTTGTGGATGGTGACAAGCGACACATTTGCGCCCGTGTCTACTAACGCCCGAGTGGGGTGACTATCCACACGTACCGGCACAGTAAACGCAGGGACAGAAAAAAAATCAT